ATTTTTAAGCCTTGGTAAATAAAATACCGTTGTTACACCTTGTTTTCAGTCAGTAGCACTGAAAAGTTTTTAGTTATTGAGCAGTGGAAGCCATAATTTTTTACTTTTAATGTGACAAAACTACAAAAAGATAATACTTATAATACAATAAAAATAATAATACAATTATTAGTAAATAGTCAAATATAATATACTATTAATATAATACAAATTTATACATACTGTTTAAAAGTTTGGGTTGGTTTTTATGTTTTTGAAAAAAGTCTCTTATGCTCACCAAAGTTGCATTTATTTATTTAAGAAAACTAATATTTTAAAATATTACTCTAGTCTTCAGTCACATTATATTTTAGTATGCTGATTTAGTGCTCAAGAGACATTTCTGACTATTGTTATTAATACTGAAAACAGGTGTGATGCTTAATATTTTAACCGGAATGTTAGGGGAATGTCAGTAAAATGCTGCCTTGCAAACATTTTAATAATATGCATGTGAATGTTGTTAGTCTTGCCTGTTGTCAGTACATAAAAAGCTCTCACTGTTCTTATGTTCAATCTTTTGTCTCTTTCTTTCACAGAATCTTCAGTCTCTGGATCTTAGTGGTGCACAGAATATATCTGCATCAGTGCTGTGTGAGCTCTTGGGCAGCCAAAGTCATCTCCGTTCCCTCTCCCTGGCTGGAACCCTGTGTGATCAGAGAGTGATATCAGTGGTCTGCCGCCAGTGCCCCAAACTGAAACACCTGGATGTGTCCCGGTGCCTTCACCTCACCCCTGCAGGCCTGCTCCCTCTGTCCTACCAAGAACCCCTTGTCAAGAACGCAAACCTCAGCAGCCTGCTAGCTCTGGATATCGGTTTAGCAGAAAATGAGAGAGATGCAGTAGCTGCAGTTGCGTTTCTCCTGCTCAGCTTACCTGGTCTTCAGAGGTTGGCAATGGAGGGATTGGGACAGGCTTGCGCTCTCATACAGAACAAGCAGTTTGAGGTGACTGAGGAGTTCAGTAGTCGAGAAGGTGTGCCGCTTCTTAAAGACATGTGGGCGAAGCGAACACACGAAGACCACTTGAAAGACAGCAGTTTACTGAGTACAGATAGAGAGGAAAGTTTTACTTTGGAAGGAAAAATAGATACATTTTTATCATTAGAGGAGAGTCAGACAGATGCTAGTGATAGTACTGATATAAATGAATGGACAAGGACTTCAGGAGATGGTTGTGAAAAAGATGGATGTAGAAGTAGAGCTTGTAATGGAAAGGATAGTGTGACAACATCTCTCTGGGATGTACAAGGACTGTCTCTGGATACTTTAGAGGCGGTAGGGAAGGTCTGCCCTGAACTGCGTGTCCTGTCTTTGGACTGTCTCCAGAACAATGTGGATGATGATGTTGACACCTTTGAACAGGCAGCAGTTTTAGCCAGAGGACTTGGTACGTTTTCTGGACAGCTAAGCTGTCTTTCTCTACAGTTTGCTGGTCTTCTGTCTGAACTGGTTCCAGCACTTAAAGCCGCAGGCTCACATCTGCTTTCACTCACCTTGGAAGGCATCAAAGCTGATGGACATATTCCTCTTCTGGAGCTCATTCATGCCTGTCCCAGACTCACTTCTCTCACTGTTCATTTAGACCCACCCAGGAATAATTTGAATGAGGAGGAGGAGGAGG